GTTCTCTCATAAACATGTTTATTCATTCTGTGTTTATTGAGCATCTATTTCCTTTCCACCCAGCAATGCTCAAGGCACCAGGAACATAGAAGCGAATACAATACATTCCCTTCTTTTCAGTAGCTTATGAGTTACACTATATGGTGAGTAAAATAGAGCTAGGAGCATATAGATGAGGGCACTGAACTCAGCTTCAGGGAGCAGGGAGTAACCAAACGGAGACTTTCTGGGGAAGATAGGTCTTAAGATTATGAAGAGTTAGGTGAAGGGACTACAGATCTACTGTGGTGGTTACCTGTGGGAAAAAGTATAGTTCAGAGGGATAAGGCGATGATAAATAAACTGAAAAGATCCTAAAACAGAAAGAGTGGTAGGGAGAACATTCTGTGAAACAAATCACCAAAAGGATTTGTCCGGTGGTTAAAGACAACACAAGAGAATTTGATGAAATGAAAATGGCAAGGGTGTGGAGATGGAATTAACAGAGTTTATTATCTAGGTCAACATCTAGATTTCTTTATATTTTTATTTATTTACTTATTTTGCTTTGGTGACTCTGGTAACAGATGTGTAGACTACACTAGCTATAGTATTTAGCTTTCTGTGGCTGGGAAAGAACTCATAGTGAAAGGCTCCTTCCATTCCTTCCTGTTTTTACAAGTCACGTTTATTAGCATAACCGATAAAACAATAATTTGCATTCTGTATCAAATCATACCAGAGCAGCTAAATGACATGGTCACTAATTAAAAGCAAAAACCGATTACTGGAGATTTGCTGCTTTGTTTGGCTAAAGAAACAAGCGTAAGCCTGTGTTGACCTCCTGTTGAAAGGCATACATTATAGAGGTCTTAGTGGAAGAGTTTTCATTAGTCATTCTGGCTGGCTTTTTTCGTCTTCACCTTACTCAGAATATTCCTGGAACCTAGCAACTTAGGTTTCTAGCACTGTGCACTCTGCCTTTGTGAGGGAAACCACTTTTTTCTTTTTCTTTTTTCTTTTTTTTTTTTTGGCAGCCTAGGGTGGTATAGCATAGTAATTAAGATGTTGGGAATTTGAGTCAAATAACCTGGTTTCCATCCAAACTCTTCCCCATTTCCTCATGCTAGCTCTGTGATCTTGGGCTGGTTGCTTAACCCCTCTAAGCATCAATTTACTTATCTATAAAAATTTAATTGTGAAATAGTAATATCTGTCATAAGCAGTTTTATGTAAGCCTAATGATAACAACAAAGCAAAAACCTATAGTAAACATACAAAAGGTAAAGAGAAAGGACCATAAGCATACCACTACAGAAAGTCATCAAACCACAAAGGAAGAGAGCAGGGACAAAGAAAGAAACAGAGAAGAACTGTGAAGACAACCAATGAGCAATTAACAAAATGGCAATAAGTACACACCTATCAATAACTACTTTAAGTGTAAATAGACTAAATTTTTTAATCAAAAGACACTGGGTGGCTGATTGGTTAAAAAAAAAATAAGACCCATCTTTATGTTGCCTATAAGGGACTCAGTTTAGATATAAGGTCACACACAGACTGATAACGAAGAGACAAAAAAAGATATTCCATGCAGATAGAAATCACAAGAGACCTGGAGTAGATGTGCTTATGTCAGGCAAAATGGAGTTTGAACCAAAGACTATAAGACCCAAAGATGGGCATTACATAATAATAAGGTGGTCAATCCAACAAGAGGATATAGCATTTGTAAATATTTATGCACCCAACATAGAGCACCTAAATATACCAAACAAATACTAATAGACCTAAAGGGAGAAACAAACACCAGTATGATAATAGGGGATTTTAATACCCCACTTATATCAATGGATAGATCATCTGGAGACAAAATCAATAAGAAAACATTCACCTTAAGTAACACATTAGATCAGATGGACTTAACAGTTATATATCTGGCATATTCCATCCCAGAGGGACAGAATACACATTATTCTCCAGTACAATTAGAATATTTTTTAGGATAAGGGGCCTGGGTCGCTCAGTTGGTTAAGCATCTGACTCTTGATTTTGGCTCATGTCATGATCTCAGTTTCATAAGATCGAGTCCCGAGTAGGGTTATTCGCTGACAGCACCAGAGCCTGCTTGGGATTCTGTCTCTCCCTTTCTCTCTCTGCCCCTCCCCAATTCATGCTTTCTCTCAAAATAAGTAAATAAACATTTAAAAAAAGAGAATAGGGCACCTGGGTGGCTTAGTTGATTAAGCATACAACTCTCAGTATCGGCTCAGGTCATGATCTCACAGTCGTGGAATCAAATCCCACATCAGGCTTTGTGCTGAGCATGGAGCCTGCTTGGGACTCTCTCTCTCCCTCTCTCTGCCTCTCCCTCACTCTCGTGCTCTCTTTCTCAAAATAAACTGAGAAAAAAAAAAAGAAAAGAACATTTTCTAGGATAGATCATATGTTAGGCCACAAAACAAGTCTTAATAAATTTAAGAAGATTGAAATCATATCAAACATCTTTCCTGACTCCAATAGTAGAAAGTTTTTATATGAAGAAAAGTGGAAAATTCACCAATATGTAGTGATTAAACAAGATGCTACTGAACAACCAACAGGTCAATGAAGAAATAGAAAAAGTAAAAAAAAAAAAAAAATAGCTTGAAGCAAATGAAAACAGAAATATGCATACCAAAATTTGTGGAATGTAGCAAAAGCTGCTCTAAGAAGGAAGTTCGTGGCAATAAGTGCCTGTCTCAAAAAACCTTTTGAAAGACATTTCAAAAAAACCTTCAAAAAAGAAATGTTTCAAATAAACAACCTAACTTTATACCTCAAGAACTAGAAAAAGAATAAACAAAGCTTGAGGGAAATAAAGGAAGGAAAGGAAGGAAATAAAGATTAGAGCAGAAATAAATGAAATAAAGACCAAAAAGGCAATGGGGAAAATCAGTGAAACTAAGAGGTTGTTCTTTGAGAAGATAAACAAGATTGACAAACCTTTAGTTATACTTATGAAGAAAAAAGGACAGAGAATTTAAATAAAATTAGACATGAAAGAGATTTTACAGCTGATACCACAGAAATACAAAGGATCATAAGAGATTGCTATGAACAATTATCTGCCAACAAATTGGACAAACTAGAAAATTGGATAAATTCCTAGAAACATACAACCTACTAAGATTGAATCATGATGAAATATAAAATCTAAGCAGACTAATTACTACTAAGAACATTGAATCAGTAATCAAAAACCTCCCGACAAACTAAAGTCCAGAACCGGATGGCGTCACTGGTAAATGCAGTCAAACATTCAAAGAAGAATTAAACCAGTCCTTGCTCAAGCTCTTCCAAAAATAGGAGGGAACTCTTCCAAACTCATTTTATGAGACCAGTATTACCTTCATACCAAACCATACAAGGATGTCAGAAGAAAAAAAAAAATTACAGGCCAATATCTCTGATGAACATAGATGCAGAAATCCTCAACAAAATGTTAGAAAACCAAATTCAACAGTACATTAAAAGGATTACACACCATGATCAAGTGGGATTTATTCCAGAGATGCAGGGATGGCTCAACATCTGCATATCAGTGCGATACACCACATTAACAAATGACAGAGAAAACTCATATGATCATATTAATAGATACAGGAAAAGCATTAGACAAAATTTAGCACTCTTTTATGATAAAAACTCTCAACAAAGTGGCTGTAGAGGGAACATAACTCCACGTAATAAAAGCCATATGTGGCAAGCCCTACTCGACAGTGAAAAGCTAAAAGCTTATCCCCTAAGACGAGGATGCCTACTCTTGCCACTTTTATTAAACACAATATGGGAAGTCCTGGCCAGAGTAATTAGGCAAGCAAAAGAAATAAAAGGCATCTGAAGTAGAAAAGAAGTAAAATTGTCACTATTTGCAGATGACATGATATTATATATAGAAAACACTAAAAACTACATCAAAAACTGTTACAACTAATAAATGAATTCAGTAAAGTTGCAGGCTACAAAATCAATACACAAAAATGTGTTGCATTTCTTTGTGCTAATAGTAAACTATCACAAAGAGAAATTTTAAAAATCCCATTTACAATTGCATTGAAAACAATAAAATACCTAGAATAAATTTAACCAAGGAGATGAAAGACCTCTACTGAAAACTATGAGACATTAATAAAATTGAAGAAGACACAAATAAAAGGAAAGATTATTTTGTGCTCATAGATCGAAAGAGTCAATATTGTTAAAATGTTCATACTATCCAAGACAATGTACAGATTCAGTGCATTCTCTATCAAAATTTCAATGACATTTTTCAAAGAAATAAAACAAATAATTCTAAAATTTGTATGGAACCACAAAAAAAAAAAAACAATTAAAAAAAACCCCAATAACCAAAGCAATCTTGAGAAAGAACAAAGCTAGAGGCATCATGCGTCCTGATTTCAAACTTCATTACAAAGCTTTAGTGATTAATACAGTATGGTGTTGGCATAAAAATAGACACATAGATCAGTGGAACAGAATAGAAAGCCCAGAAATAAACCAACACATATATGGTCAACTAATTTACAATAAACGAGACAAGAATATACAATGGGGAAAGACTGGACAAAAGAACGAAACTTGACCACTATCTTCTACACAAAAATTAACTCCAAATCCATTAAGGACTTGAACATAAGACCCAAAACCATAAAACTCCTAGAAGAAAACATAAGAAGTAAGCTCCTTCACACAGATTTTGGTGATGGTTTATTTCAATCTGACACCACAAGCAGAAGCAGTAAACACAAAAAGAAGTGAGACTACATCATACTAAAAAGCTTCTGCACAGGAAAGAAAACTACAAACAAAATGAAAAACAGCCTACAGAATGGTAGAAAATATTTGCAAATCATCTATCTGATAAGGGGCTAATATCCAAAATATATAAAGAACTCATAAAACTCAATGTCAAAAATACAAACAATCCAATTTAAAACTGGACAGAGGATCAAAATAGACATTCTTTCAAAGACATGAAGATGGCCAACAGGTACATGAAAAGATATTCAGCATCATTAATTATCAAGGAAATGTAAATCAAAACCACAATGAGGTATCACCTCATGCCTGTTAGAATGGTTATTATTTTAAAAAGACAAGACATAAGTGTTGGCAAAGATGTGGCGAAAAGGAAACCTTTGTGCACTATTGGTTGGAATGTAAATTGGTGCAGCCACTGTGGAAAACAGGGAAGTTCCCCTCGCAAAATAAAAATAGAACTACCATATAATCTAGCAATTCCACTTTCAGGTATTTATCTGAAGAAAATAAAAACACTAATTAGAAAAGATTTCTGCACCCTTATGTTCATGTTCGTGTTCATTGCAGTGTTATGTACAATAGCCAAGATATGGAAACAACCATAAGCCATCAATGGATGGGTGGTTACGAAGTTGTGGTGTGTGTATTGTGGTGTGGGCCGTATTATTTAGCCATGAAAAAGATGAATTCTTGCCATTTGCGACAACATAGATGGATCTTAAGGGCATTATGCTAAATGAAATAAGTCAGACAGAGAAAGGCAAATACTGTATGATCTCTCATATGTGGAATTTTTTTATCTATTAAAAAAACAAGCACATAGATAAAGAGAACATATTGGTCATTGTCAGAGCTGCGGGGGTTGGGTGTTGAGAGAAAGGAGGGAAAGGGGTCAAAAAGTAATGAGAAAAAAAAAGACAAGTTGAGAGGGAGAGATTTTTGCAAGTGCTTATAATCACATTTTTCCCTGCTTTTAGAACAAAGGACCCCCATTTTCATTTTTTACTAGAGCCTGCAATTATGTAGCCAGCCCTATTTCTACTTGAAACTGAGTTCCTTAAGATCTGGACACATGCTTATTCATCATACTATTCTGTGTGTAGCATAATATCTGGCATTTATTAGATAATAAACAATGCTTTTTGAGATAATATTTATTAATTTGATTTATGGTATATGTGTGTGTATCTATAAAACTCTAAATATCTACATATTTATGTTGATATATTTATAAAGTATAAATTAATAGAAATATATACTGTGAATGTATAATTATATATGCAGTGGACAGATAGGTACAAAATATTTAGGAAACAGGTTTTCTGTTAGAAAACAGTTATTCTGTATTAAGGGTCTACTGTTTCCGTTCCTTTTAATTTAAAGGGTTATTAATTGAAATGCTAGTGTAATCAATACTGTATTGTAAAAACTATAAAAAGTAAATTAATATCTAGCAAGTGGATTCATTTTACCATAAGCTTTCAGAATGTGCCCAGTGACAGCACATTTCTATAAGAAATAAATACAAAAAGTAGTACCTGCCTTATAAGGTTATTATGAGGATTAAATAAGATAGTATATATAAAGCTAAAGCCCAGGACTTGGCACAGGCTTAGAACTTATTAAATATGAATTATTATTGTTATTTCACCGTAACTAGCCTCATTTTGTAGTAAGTTATTTGGCAACTCAACTCCAAAGTCTTGGTTAGTAGTTCGCCAATGACAAGGACTATGTCTTACTCATCTTTGAGTATATAGTGCCTGACATGTAGAAGGCTGTTTTATAGTATACTGGTACATACACATCAGAAAACTAAAATTTGATTCCCTTACATAAGTAATCAGTTATTTTTGGTGGCTTGATTTTGTTCAAGAAAGGAACAGGATATTGCCAAAGTTTTGAATACGATGGTTATAATTTAAGCAGCTGTAGGAATTCCCATGCTGTGGCCATTTTTAACCTTATTTTCTCAAGGAGACATACTCCATACCCACTCTTTTCTGGTCGACATACTCAGCATTGGGAGCAACCAATTAGTTGTAACTCTCCCTATTTCTTTTCCACTTCAGGATGTAAGTTATTATGCGAATAATCAAGAGTGACCTCATGAGAGGATAATCATGAATCCACTCTAAATTAAATTGTAAATCATTTTATACATTATTATTTTAGCTCTCATCATAATTATTGTGTTTTGTGGTGACTAGATTAGACTTCTTCAAAGAATTCTTTGAATTCTCCAAAATTCTTCAAAGTCAGCACTTTTATATCTTAGGACTTCCTGTCCATTTAGTCACAGGTAACTATTCCCTCTGTGGAATTCTCTGTTTCCTTGGTTTCCATAATACCAGTATTGCTCTGCTACTCTCCACTCTGCGAAAACTGGTCTTTCAAAGGCTAGCAGTGACTACAAATTATCTTCTCCCAGTACACATTCTCTCTGTCCTCTAAGCAACATTCAGTATTACAACTACCTTCTCCATGAAAGTCTCTGTTCCCTTGCTTTCCCTGACAGCAAGAGCTTTCCTTGTCTTCCCCTTAACCTTCTAACCACTTTTGACTCCAATGATGTGCCTCTTCTTTTCCCTTAACTCCAATGTGGGGATTCCCCAAGGATTTTTCCTAGACTTCTTATTCTCTCTTCCTTGACAATATCATCCGTTTCTAGTACTTGAGCCATCCATCACTTTTAGGTGTATAGCTTCTGCATATTTACCTCCTGGTTGTTCTCCCTATCCAACTCTTATCTCTTGTTGCAAATACTGCTGGATCATTTGGAAGCTCATCTGGCAGCTCAGATTCAATATACCAAAGTTTTTTGTTATCTTTCCACTCAAACCAACTCCTTATCATGATTTTTGTTAGTGGGTATCACACTTCTCTGTTAGGCTGGCTTAAAAACTTTTGAATTAATTCTGGTACTTCTCTTTACCTCTGCCTTTCTTTTTTATCATGCTTTCAATTCGGCAAAACTGTTCAGTGTTGCCTAGGCCTGCCTCTGCCCCGTCTTTGAATTCTTCATTCACTACTTCTTCTGAATGGTATTGTCCAGCAATAGGTGCAGTAACTAAAGAACATTATATAGACTTCACTGTCTGGCAGAGGGAAACAGGGGGTAAAATCAGTAATTATAATACAAGATACAGAAATGAAGGAGAAGCAACCCAGGGAAGGCAGGACAGGTAAGACTTATTAAAGGGGGTAACATATGAGCCAAATCTTAAAAGATGAATAGGAGTCAGACTGATAAAGGCAGGAAAAACATTCTAGAAATAATAACACATGCAAAGGAATGCCAGCAAAGAAGACTATGACTTATTGTTGAGGTGGAAGTCGGACTGGAGCTCTGGCTTCATGGGGAAATGAAAGCAGGAAGTAAAGCTCCAGAGGTATTAAGAGTGGAGGGAAGGCACGTAGGGCCTTGTTTTCAATTACCTGATGTTCCATAATGAACCACCACAAATATTATGCCCTAAAACGATAGCCATTGATTATTTCTCACAGTTCTCCAATTGGGCAACAGTCTCTGGGGATGGCTCATCTCTGCTCCACGTGGCACAGCCTGGTACAGCTCCAATGGGGCAGGAGGATCCAGGTCCCTCACTTACATGTCTGGTGCTTCAGCTGGGGTGACATTGGCTGGCTGGGTTTCTCTTTTTCTTTACACATGGTGACTCAATATTCAGCAACCTAGGTTCTTTACATGTAAGGTGTATCTGCAGAGAGAGAAAAGTGGAAGCTGTGGAGCTTCTTCCGGATTAGTCTGGAAGTCACATGACAACCTTACCCCTACATCTTGTTGGTCAAAATAAGTCACAAGAGGAGCTCTGCTTCTAGAAAAGGAGAAGTAGATCCCATCTCCCTTTGGGAGGAAGAGCATGAATGCAGACGGATGAGAGGAAATGTTGGCAGCCATGTTTCCGGATCATGTATCATAAGCCTCATAGATCACTGCATTTTATAGGGTACCATTGTAGGATTCTAAGCAGCAGACTGACATTGTAGGATATCCGTGTAAAAATATCTCTTTGATCCCTTTATAAAGATTGAGTTCAGGGGTCAGGCCCAATACCTGGAAACAGGGCAACCAAGGAGAAGCCTTTACCAGTATGTTACAGGTTATCCTCAGGAAAGCCTTTTCTATGGGCCCTCATGCCTTGCTCCAGTTTTCCTCCTCATTGAAACAAATGGAATGACCAAAATGTGATAGATGCCTTTTTCTTTTTTCTTTTTCCTTTCTTTCTTTTTTTTTCTTATTTTTTAAACATTTACTCTTTTATTTTATTAATGTAAAGAGAGAGAGAAGGAGGGGGGACAGAGGGAGAAACAATCTCAAGCAGGCTTCATGCTCAGCATTGAGCCTGATGCAGGGCTCAATTCCGTGACCCTTAGATCATGACCTGAGCTGAAATCAAGAGTTGGATTCTTTTTTTTTTTTTAACTTTTATTTATTTTTGAGACAGAGAGAGACAGAGCATGAACGGGGGAGGGGCAGAGACAGAGGGAGACACAGAATCGGAAGCAGGCTCCAGGCTCCGAGCCATCAGCCCAGAGCCCGATGCGGGGCTCGAACTTACAGACCGCAAGATCGTGACCTGAGCTTAAGTCGGACGCTTAACTGACTGAGCCACCTAGGCGCCCCAAGAGTTGGGTTCTTAACCGACTGAACCATTCCGGCACCCCATTCTTTTTTCTTGTTTTAAGCAAGACACCACTAAGGTATCTGTCCAGGACTCTGTGCCCCTTCCAGAAAGATGGATTCACATCTGCCACGGGGGAGGAAATATGTAACATCACATATCCTCTGACTAATTTTTTTATGTTTAGAGATAATATTCTTTGCTTATTTTACATTGCTGTTTCTATAAATAAACCAGGAAAGTCAGATGAGACTTTTGGGGAAGGCAGAAGCCTCCTTTATATTTCCAGGGGCTCTTCCTGTGTCAGATCCTGTAGATTTATGTGATCATAAAGCCCATATGGGCACTTTATTCTATGCATAGTGAACCCCTTGACTCTTGCCCCTAGTCCTTACTACAGTGCTGTTCAATGCCTATTTAAAAGCCACAGAAAATATTTACAGAATTTGAAATGTTTTATTATATCACCTCAGTAACTAAATTTGCTTCATGAATAACTTTTTTAACATGGAAGCAATAGTATCTTGTGTAGAGGAGAGTGAAGACTAATGCTTGTCAGTCTTTACTAGAACAAAGTAAGATCCAAAATCTGGGAATGGAGAGGAGATGGTCCTCCTGGATTTTCTGGGGTTTGTACAGCCCCTTCCCCTAAGTGTTCCTGGATCCCAGATTTCAATCTATAAACAAAAGAGTCTCTCATTATTGGTATGAGAACCTGAAGATAAGGTTACAGTATGGTGCCTCTTTGTCAGCGTGCAAGTGTTTTGTCGGGTTTCTGAACACTTAGTGAGTGCTATGGTGGGCATCACTGACAATGTTAATTTCCTCCAAGACTCCAGAGTCCTGTGGCTAGAAGCCAGGATCACTTGGAGAGATTTGGTCCCAAATCCCAGCTTTGCCACTTCCTCGTTACATGACAGTGAACAAATTCCTTAACTCCTGTAAACTTTGTTGTTGTTTTTTTCCTCTTTAAAACCTCACTAATAATTGCACCCTGCTCATAGGGTTGCTGTGATGGGTGAAAACAAATACTGTTTATTGCACCTAGCCTAGTGAATGGCACAAGTACTCAATAAATTTTAACTGTTATTGTTTCAATGGACTTCCTGCTGATCTTCACTGTTTCCTTTATTTTTTACAGGGAGATGTTAATCTCTGTGGCTCTGGGCCAGGTGTTATCCCTTCTTATTTGTGGAATTGGCTTGACCAGCAAGTACCTGTCAGAAGATTTCCATGCCAATACACCAGTCTTCCAGAGTTTCCTCAATTACATCCTTCTTTTCTTGGTCTATACCACCACACTAGCCGTCAGACAAGGTAAGCATGCAAAAACCCATATGTAGCTTGGAATATAGGTGAGTTCCTTTTTTATAGACATCTAGAAGAATTATGAGCCATGACTAAATTAACTTTTTGTCACTTACAGCATCATAACACAATTCAAAACCTCAACTCTTGCTTTTCTATTTTGCAGTAATAAAGCAAACAAAATGAATAAATAAATCACAAAGAAGCATAAATTACGTGAATTCAGCAGGAAATAGGAAACGCATGTATAGGCAAAATGTACAATTGCTCACTATTTGAATTTCTGTTAACATCCCTTATACCCCTGGACCGTGGAAAGGCCTGATGCAGCTGTCCTCAGTAATGCTAGTCCTCAGAAATCCAAGGGAATTACAGACAAATGTATGTTCTTTGGGAAAGTGTCACAAGAAAGATAAAAATAGTAAACACAAACAACTCTAGTAATAATAAAAGAGAAAAGAAAGGAAAGAAAACTACCACAATTGGTCAGATGAGATGTTCTGTCTAAACTTCAAATAGCTAAAGCAAGAAAACAAGTCCTCCAAGAATCAGTGCAAGAAAAACTTTTTATTTGGTAATTGCAGTTGAAATCTTTGGAGCGTGTATCTCTGGGGAGAGTAATTCAGATCCTTATGATTATACCATTGAATCTGGTGTAAACACTCTTTTTTATTCCTTTGGCATGGAGATAGCCAACAATCACCCCTAGAAGCTGTTGAATGTGAAATATGTATTGAAAAATAACCATTAACATGTTTGAAGATAATTTTATACCTTAATAATAAATAAGGATATAAGAATAGCTATATTCATCAATTCTAATAGTCATACTTTTTTGAAACTTTTATAAGAACTGTAAGAGTATTTCATTTTTACACTTCCTTATTTAAATGGCCATCCAGAATAATATTGCTTAATTATAACTATGTGGCCAATTCTAGATTTTATTCAGTTGGGACTGAATTCCAGTTTAACTTTGGAGTTGTTTAAAGTATTGGAATTCCTTTGAAACTTATCAAAAAATTGCATTATCGGTGTTTGTTTGTTTTTTAATTTAATATCAGTAGACATTAATCTAAGAATAAGCATCTGACTTCGGCTCAGGTCGTGATCTCACAGTTCGTGAGTTTGAACCCCACGTCAGGCTCTGTGCTGACAGCTCGGAGCCTGGAGCCTGCTTCAGATTCTGTGTCTCCCTGTCTCACTCTCCCCCTCCCCCATTCACACTCTGTCCTTGTCTCTCTCTCTCTCTCTCTCAAGAATAAATAAACATTAAATTTTTTTTAAAAAAAAATAATATTTCAACTAAAACCTCAGGCTACAGAAGCTATAGACATTGAGTCTGACTTATATTTCCTCAGGGTGATATATGGAAGCTAACAGTTTGAACACTACAAATGCAAACAAGAAAACCCACAAAAATCATAGGGAAGTGGTGAGGAAAAAAGTAAATCAAGCCAATCTAAGAAACAGAGAGAAAATTTCACTGTCATAGGTACAAACAGGAAAGCGTAGAAAACTAAATGTAGCAAAAGACCTAAAGTTTATAACAGTACCTTCTATCAAGACTCCATAATGTGCCAAACACTATGTATCTCCTTTATTATCTCCTTTATTTCTTCAATCCAAAGAAATAGGTATTATTATCCAAAATTTTGTAAATTAGGAAACAGTGCCTCTGTGTCCAGAACCTGCTCCAGGCTGTAGAACTAGGAGCTGTAAGGCTCATGCTAGGCCAGGTCATGTGCCTCCCTGGACTCCCTGAACCCCATGCGGGGTCTAGGGGAGGCTGGAGGAAGAAAAGATACTTTTGAACAAATGGAGGGTTTTTGCTTGAAATTCAAAACCCTGAATAAGAAAATAGCACTGGTGCAAGGTCTAGTGAGGCACAACAGCGAAGTCAAGAAAATGTGGTCTCAGCTTTGGGTGGGGAGGGTAGATGGTGGTGGGGAGTGGGGGTGGGGTGGGGAGAGACACAACTGGCAAGAGGCCAAGGACTAGGACAAGGAATTCGGAGGCTCTTTGGAGAGAAGACCGAAGAGAGCCTGAGGGAATCTTGTTTATCCCAGTCAGTGATGTCCAGAAGCAATGTCTCAGATACCCTATCTAGAGATTTCTGCCATTGCCTCAAATTATCACTAGATTCACTGACATGGCTTTATTTGGGTGTTTACTCACGATGTTTGTTTTAATCTTCATCTTTAGAAGTTTTAATAGGCTGGCATTAAGCTAACATCTGGAAACCAACATAGTAATTACATTAATTTTGTATAGGCTGATTCCATTCTATGTTCTAGAGACATAATAATCTCTTTCCTTGTGCACCTCAAGATTTGAGAGGGAATGAACAACAGAGCGAAGAGGGGGAAAGGATGGAAAGTCTGGTGTGTGCAAGGGAGCTGCTCTCACAACCACAATTTCTTTTCCTTTCCTGGTGCTCTCTGACCGCTCCTCCCAGAAGGGTGCAGATTAGGACTGAGCAAAATTACTGTCTTTCCAGTTCTCCCGGCACAGACGTCACCTAACCTGACTGGGCCACCATTTAATTTGACACACCTTAGGCCACATAACTGCAAGAAGTTAGTATTGAGAATGTATATATGTATATATATATATATATATGTATATATGTATGTGTGTATATATATATATGTATATATGTGTTTGTTTGTTTATTTATTTATTTATTTATTTATTTATTTATTTTTTGAGACACAACATAAGCTTGGGAGGGGCAGAACGAGAAGCAGAGAGAGGATCTGAAGTGGGCTTTGTGCTGATAGGCTGACAGCAGCAAGCCCAGGGCTGGAACTCATGAACCGTGAGATCATGACCTGAGCTGAAGTCGGACATTCAGCTGACTGAGCTACCCACGCACCCCATCGGGAATGTATTTTTAAACAAATATTTCCTTATCATTTTAACCATACAACTTCTAAAAAGTTATGATCGTCTCATGTGATTACAATGTGATAAATGCAAGAAGCCCTTCAAGAGCCTTCAGGTTGGTATTATGGCAAAAGCCTTGTGGAAATTTGACTTCAAAGTTAAACTGAGTTCTCTTTATCAGATGCTCACTGAACCAGTGACCAAAGACTTTGAAGCAACAGGTTCCAGTAGAAATTCCAATATAATTCTGGTTCAGCCTGGAGTTTTGAACTTGTCCCTGATTATTAAATTGGTTCCCAAAAAAGTGTGACTCCGTCCTTAAAAACTTTGTCTTGTTGAACAAGTTTTATGTCTGACCCTTTCCTTGACTGGTACTAGGTTGTTATTACAGATGTTCCAAAATTCAAAAAATTTTTGCTGTTCATAGCAAAGAGCTTCCGTAATACCACTTTATAAAAAAAAATGTACTTCAAACAAGTAGTTGCATTGACACACCAGCAAGTTTGAGAATTTAGCTATAATAAATATATATAATATTTATTTATATTTATATATATATAATAAAAATGAGCTAAAATAAATAAAGTGGTTAAGAGTAACCACTTTAGAGAAGTTATTCAGGCAATTGAAATGTCCTCATTGAAGTGATGCCTGAAATCCAAACTCATGCTGTGTGTACCTAGTTGAGCATCATGAATTGTAAAGAAAAACTCAGCTCTCTTCCTGTGTCTTCCCTTTACCCTCACACTATCACCACACTTAACACACTTTTGTCACTGAATGCCTGGTGTTTTTCATACCAAGCAATTCTGTGACATCAGCTGGGTGTTCTACAGTCAGCCCAGGTTCTGACACTGTCTACCTGGAGATAGTGTCAAATCCCATAAGTTAAGAGCTCGGCCTCACATGACTGCCCCTCTCACTTCAGATGCTAATTGCAAGTCTGGGTTGTAGCCTCTGCTTCTGACTAATGGACTGTAAATCAGAGGTTCCTACAGCTTCCTTCTTGAGTTTGATTAATTTAGTAGAGTGGCTCACAGGACTCAGAAAAACAGTTCATTACTGTTTATCAGTATATTATAAAAGAATATGATGAATGATATACATGAACATCCAGATGAAATAGATGAGTTGCGCAAAGTACGTGGGAGGGGGCACGGAGCTTCCATGCCTGTCTGCATAGGCCACTCTTTCCATATCACCATGTATTTATTCATCAACCCCGAAGGTCTCTGAATCCTCTACGTTAGACATTTTTATGGAGATCATTATGTAGGCATGATTGATCATTAACTCCATTTCCAGCCCCTCTCACTCTCTGGAGAATGGAGAGATGGGGCTGAAAAATCCAAACTTCTAATCATGGCTTGGACTTTGCGGTAACCAGTCCCTATCCTGGAGCCTAGCAAGAGTAACCTCATTAGAACAAAAGATATGGCTATCGCCCTGGAAATCCCAAGGGATTTGGGAACTCTGTGTCAGGAACCAAGGTCAAAGACCAAATATTAGAACAAAAGATGCTCCTAAGTACTCTTATTAGGAAATCACAAGGGTTTTTGGAGCTCTGTGCCAGGAACTGAGGGCAGAGACCAATATATATTTTCTATTATCTCACAGTAATATAACTAGGAAAGTATAGTGAACCTCCCAGAAACTGATGGATTTTCCTGGGAAGTTCTCCCATCCAAATACTAACCAGGCCCGACCCTGCTTAGCTTCCAAGATCAGACAAGATTGGGCGCGTTCAGGGTGGTATGGCCGTAGACTGCCTGGGAAATTCTCAAAAGAAGACTCTTCCTCATGCCTACTTTTTTTCTTAAAATTCCATGCAATGCTAGCTGCAATCAGGAAGCAGAGAAACACAAAAAGCAAAGACTATGAACAAGAAGAAAGAAGAACAGGATGGGGTCTAACTAAAGCCCAGCCATTCTCACATTTATGTTGTAGAAGCAAGAAATGTGACAGGCCTTTAAAAACCTTTAAAACCTTTAAAAACAAAGGTGAAAATAGGATATCAAGGAAAAAGAATATGTTATTAGACTTTCTACCCATAAAGTTCTCTTACCAATTATCTTAAGAATCCTGCTGCTTCCCAGAAGTACTTTCAGCAGCTCTTAAAT